TTTCCCTATCCCAAATCCAGCCTCTCTCCTATCCCAAATCCAGCCTTTTCCCCATCCCAAATCCAGCCTTTTCCCCATCCCAAATCCAGCCTTTTCCCTATCCCAAATCCAGCCTTTTCCCCATCCCAAATCCAGCCTTTTCCCCATCCCAAATCCAGCCTCTTCCCTATCCCAAATCCAGCCTTTTCCCTATCCCAAATCCAGCCTTTTCCCCATCCCAAATCCAGCCCTGAGCTGTCCATGGAATGGGATGAGTTTTAAGATCCTTTCCAACCCAAACCGTTCCAGGATTCCGGGATTCTCCCGTTCCCATGGAGCCAATCCTGCTCCTCCCGATCCTTCGCCCACTCCCTTGGGATATTTTTATCCTGGTGCTGGGGACAGGCTCATTCCCAATCCCGAGGCTCCGGAATCTGGGAGGAAGGAGGAGCAAAACTCCCTCTTCCCAGCCCACACATCCCTTGGATCACTCCATGAAAACCCCGGGATGTGGATTTGGGATGATCAGATGGCCCAGCCCAGATTCCAGGAGCTCTGCTGAGGGCAAAATCCAGGGAGAAGATCCAAAAATGCAGCAGCAAATCCACGGAGCAGCTCCGCGGTGTCCGGGTTACCTTCATTAGCTTCTAATTATGGATCACAATTAATTAGGGAGCTGCTGATTTCCAAGGAAAATGAGTTTCTCCTTAATGAGCTAATCAGGTTCCGGATAAAAAAAAAAAATCGTGAATTTATTAACTCCTCCAGCATCCAGAGCCACTCCAGGTGGGACTGACCAGCTGGATATCCCAGGATTTCAGAGGATCCCTTTTTTAGGGATCCCTGCTTTTATCCCACCGGGATTTTGCCAGGAAAAAAAGTGGGATTTGCTGGGGATGTGGGGTTGTTCCTCAGGGTTTGGGATCGAGGGGGTGTGGATGGTGATTCCAGCTGGGATCCATGGGGAAGGAGCCGGGATGAGGCCGGAGCTGGAGCGCTCCGGGGGCTCAGACAAAGCTCCCGGGTTTTTTTTCTGGGAATATTAATGAGGCTCAAGCTGTGCTCTGCAATTAAATCCTGATTAGAATTCCTTCCATCTGGAGCTGCCTCCGGAACGAACGAGGAATTCAGGAGAGGCGGGAATGTTGCACAGGGAAAGGGGCAAAGGAATGATGGGATGGGGGGAAAAAACCAGGGAGAGCTCCCGCTTCTCCCAGCTTCCCTTCCCGGCTGGAATCTGGGATCTGGGAATTTGGCAATGCAGCTCTGCCATGGCAAAATTCCTCCTGGGAATGGGGCTGGGAGCATCCCAGAGCCGCAGATTTCTGGGGATGGGACGTGGATTCCCGCTCAGAATGCAGGAATATCCCAGGGGAGTGCCCAAATTCTGGGAGCAATCCAAGAATCCCAGGATTCAGGGGTGAGTTGGGTGGGAAGGGATTTTATCCCGTTCCAATGTCCCAGGTCGCTCCAACCTGGCCTTGAACATTCCCGGGATAGGGAAGCAACAACTTCCCTGGGAATTGTGCCAGGGTCTCCCTCCCTGGAAAAATTCCTTTGATCTCATTTTAACGGATTCTCTTCCCGTCAAAACACTCCCCTTTCCCTATCCAAGGTACATTCCATGCTCAAGGTCACCGCCGCTTTTCCCGGGAGCTGCGGATCCCACGGGATCGGCCGGAGCAGCCGTTGGATTGATGGGAATTTCAACTTCAGGCGGGCAGATCCCAGGGGAATTCCTGGGAAAAATCTTGGATGGAGGAGGAAAAGGGAGGAGGAGGAAGATCCCAGCTGGATCACAGATGAGAGGGATAAATCCTGCTTTTCCCATCTGGAATCTCA